CTGCGACACTTAGAACCGTACTAGCGGACCACTGTGCGACGACATTCGCTTGTGTTGGATCTCAGCACTATATAGAGGCGGCTCCTAAATTTAAAACATATATTAACCACAAAAAAAGTTTCTACCTTATTAAATAAAATAGATTGGGAATCAACTAAAGGTATTAGTTGCCCCATTGAAATATACAAATTCATTAAAGATAATTTCAATAGATGCTACAATGATGCCTTAACAACAATTCGGGAAAAAAATAGAACATTAACGAGGACAGAAAATAAATGGATTAATGAAAAAACTAAAAGGGCATGTGAGAATAGGGACTATTGGTATTCTTTGTGGTTAAAAAATACAGACAATATGATTACTAAACAAATATATAATAAAATACGAAATTCGACTAACAAGCTGATACAAAAAACAAAAAATTGGCACATCAAAACGGATATATATAATAATAAAAATAACCAGATAAGACTTTGGCAAATACTAAATAAGATCACGTGACGGACAAATCCTTCCATTGATAATATAATTTTAAATTCATTTCAAAATGAAAAAGTGACGCCACTTGATATGGCTAATAATTTCGCTCAGGCCTTTCAGAAAAATGTTTCAAGCATCGTACCGTCCTGCAATCGACCCCTTTTACCGATGAACTTGTACAGATTGCCTGTAAACGTAACATTTCGATATCAAAAGTCTACTCCAAGCTCAGTAGCTAAAATAATAAAAAACATTCAAACGAACAAAGCACCAGGTATAGACAACATACGAGCAATAGACTTAATATCCATTGCGAACAAAATATCGGTAACTATAGCCAACCTAATAAATGCGTGTATAGAAAAAGGCAAGTACCCTACTGAATTAAAAACTGGAATTGTAAGACCCGTACATAAAAAAGGTAGCAAAACGGATTACGACAATTATCGCCCAATAACAATATTACCTACATTAGACAAAATAATTGAAAAATATATAAGTAAACAAATAAATAATTTCTATAGTCAACACTCAATTTTAAATAAAAGTCAGTATGGTTTTCAGCAGCATAAAAGTACCACTCAACTTTTATCTTCTTTTACTGACGACGTAAACCATTTTCTTGATAATAAAAAACATGTTCTAGTTCTTTTCATTGACTATAGTAAAGCGTTCGACACCCTTAGACTTGACTTACTGATTGAAAGGCTTGATGAATGTGGACTGCGAGGACCCCTTTTAAATTGGTGCAAAGACTATGTTAAAGAGAGAGCATATAGAGTTAAAGTAGGAAATACTACAAGTACAAAGAAAACAGTCACTCACGGTACTGCACAGGGATCTGTGCTTGGGCCTTTGCATTACTTAACCTATGTTAATAATGTTGCCAATGTAATTAAAAACTGCAAGATATATCAGTTTGCAGACGATACCTGCATACTAGCGGCGGAAAATGACATATATGTGGCATTACAGAAATTGCAAGAAGATTTCACTAACCTTATGAAATGGTCTCACGATGCGGGGCTTGTTCTGAATGCCACAAAAACAAAAATGATGTACATTTCATCCAGTCATAATAGAGTATCTGTTCCTTTAAAACTCGTTGCCCACAGCCACCAATGTCTCCATAAAAACATGTCTAACCAGACTTGTAATTGTACTCATATTGAATTAGTAGAACAACAACCTTACCTTGGACTCATAATAGACAGTCGATTTAAATGGACGCACCATATTAATAAAGTGTGTGACAAGTTAAGGGCCATACTTGCCAAATTTTCTATCGTTAGGTATAAAGTTCCCTTTCCTATACTATTGTCCCTTTATAAGGCTCTGGCCGAATCAATAATACAATACGGATTAAGTAGCTATGGTAGAACATGGAAATCGCATCTTTGTAGAACCCATGAATTACAACTTAGAATCATCAAAACAATTGTCCCCACTAAAATCAAACAACAATATAAGGACAATTACAACCAATTATTTAAATACTGTGGTATCTTGCCAATAGAAAAAAAAATAAAACTCACTTTACTTGTAGAACAGTTCTTTAATACAAAATTACAAGTCATACCTACGTACAAACATCGGCTTAGAAGTACATATAACCCTAAATTAATTATAGCTAAAACTCATAATATGTATGGCGATCAACAAAATAAGATTATTATTCCTAAATTAATTAATAAACTACCTAAAACCTTGAAGGAAAATATCAATCCCAAAAATATTAAATACAAATTAAAAACATACTTTTTGAATCAACTAACATGATATAACTAAAAACTAATATACTTACTATATGTAATATAATTATCATATGTATATTCCAAAAATATAAAATAATATTTTCTCCAAACATCCTGTATACTACTCTAACTAAATAGCCACTACAACTCATCCTCAAGTTATTTGTATAGAAATGAGTGAACTACCTTCTTACTCTAAATAATATTAAAATGTTTGCGCTGGAAAGACGGCGAACTGCAGTGTGCAGAAAAATCTTATATAGGTTTGTGTTGCACTGTATTTAATATGAACTTTGATTAGTATATATTTTAGTTGTTGTAAAATAAAAAAATAAAATAAAATCGGCGCGTAAGCTTGGTTCCTGTCGCTCCGCAGGAGCCAAGCTTACGCGCCGATAGTTTAGGTAATTTCTTTTTTACAGTGAAAATAATGATATTTTAAAAAAAGTAAATAAAAATAAGCACTGCTTTATGGTCAGTTCAGTTAGTATGCAAAGTTTCATGATCTTATTTAAAGTATTTTATGAATAACAGCGGTTTATTGTTCAGTTTGGAGGTAACTTTGGATTTTTTTCTATCGAGAAAATTTTACGGAATCGTGTTTTCGTCTACCATAAACCTTAACATTAATCCTCATCTTTACCATACATTTATTTCAAAATTAATGCTGCAATACTTTCGGCATAACGGAGGATCTTGCTAAGCCATTTGAGGTTATATTTCCCCTTAAGGAACAAACACCCAGACATTTTCATTAACTTTCGCATGTGTATAACATTGTAATATTAATATGGAATACAATTAATTTAATAACAATTATTGTTAGCGTCGCAAGTATAAAATGAGTAAACCAATATGTTTATAGAATGGCTAATCCCTGAACCTTAACAGTATGTGAATGTATTAAATATGAATGTCATGTGAATGTAGTGAAAGCTGTATGTGCATTTGTTTTTAACTTAAAGTCATGTGTAACGTAACAATCGGTTGCGCAACACGAACCGAAATATTAAACTATTAAAGGTAAAAATGATTAAAATAATTCAAAATATTGTTTGCTATTATTAGTTCTGGAAAATTTCCATTGTTTTCAAAGAAAGAAATAGATAATACAATATTAGAGTAGTAAACATGTATATTAAGAAAAACAAGGATAGCTATTGCTAGAGTGAGAGGGCGATAGCCTCTTATCATAATGATTTCTTATATTTACGCGAACACTATACATTGATTAAAACTACTTTTACGGATTTTATCGCGTTTTATTTATATTAATTTTAATACCCGACGTTTCGGGTGCTTTCCAGCACCCATGGTCACGGGGGACTGAGGTGACTGACGTCCCGATGTCAAAGTTAACCCGGAGTACCTTCAGCTAAATAATTAAAAAGCTGAAAGTAAAAGTAAAAGTAAAAGTAAGAAAGTAAAAGTAAAAGTAGTTTTAATCAAGCCTCATCATTTTTGTAGATTAAAATTGCTTAAAACTTTGTGAGTAAAGCTTTGTTTTCTGTCTTAGCTGTCTATTTGTTTAAGATAAGTATTAATTATGATAAGACCTGTGTAAATTGAACAATATTTGTTAACATAAGTTGTAATAAAGATTAATATTTAAGATTTTAAGGTGTACGACGCGCATGATAAGACGTAAATTACGTAATAATGCTTTATATTTTATTAATGTCATGTAAATGCATATGTTTTATTGTTCTTATTATGTAATCTTATGTGTTCTTATTGAAAAAGCATAATTTTTGTGTGTCTTTGTTGAAAATAAAATTACTTCGATAAAAAGAGAAATGGGATAACGAAAACTGCGCGCAAAATAGGAGGCTTTTTGCACATAGCCCACCACGGCTAAGTTCGAGATCTCCAACACAGCTAAGTTCGAAAAATTCTCCGGTTCAATATCAAGATTCAAAAAGTTCCCCGGTTATCACATTTCTCAAGAATTTTCAAAAAATCGCTGTTTCATTCCCAGTGTTGACCCTAAAGTTAGGGAAAGTGAAGAAAATATGCAGTCCACATATTTGATGTCTAGACCGGGATCTAGCGTGGACCCGTAATCTCAGGCATCAACCACCTTTTAAGAAGAGGCGTGTCTGTTTCTGAAGTAGGCGTTATCGAAGGGTGCGTCCACTGCGTTGTCTCGAACCCAACGTGGTGTGACTTAGATCGACGAGTAAGGAACTGGAGGACTCGCCGGATTGCTGGTGTGACGGCCAGTTTTTGGCTGGTCATCGATTCAGAAGCACCCACGAACCTCTTTAATTATTGTTTAAGAAAACCGGACACTCTTTTTACATGAAAGGACGAATTCCATCTTAGATCTAAGGTATGCATCTGCATTCGATTCATAATCTAGAATAGTTGAAGATGTCTATGGGCCACAGCATCCACTTACCATCAGGTGGACTGTTTGCTCGTTTGTCACCCTTATTCTATAAAAAAACATTTATTGTGGCTAATTGTTTGGTTGAGGTGCTAAGGGTCATGGTTTCAAATCCAGCAAAGAGCGCATGTATAAAACTGTAATGTAATGTATAAAACTTACAAGTGATCTTCCCGGGTCATAATGCTACCACGAAACGGGAAAAAGTCCTAATGTGAGTGCATAACTTATAACGTTTACAGGGTTACGGGGACATGTTTATAAAAAAAATGAACATTTTATATTTTGTTTATTTTTTACTGCATCAATTATGTAGCATAAGTATGTAATTCACAAGCATTTAACTTCGTAACACAATCTTTTATCATTTTATTTCATATGTTATTACTACCTTCTTTCAGCCATGTATATTTATATAATATTGCCGATAGAGATCCACCAAGTAATGGACCTATCCAGTAAACCCAATGTGCATTCCATGTACTGGTCCAAAGAGCTGGCCCCAAAGATCGTGCTGGGTTCATACTTGCACCTGTAAAAGGACCTCCAGCAATTGATAGCCCAGCAATAGTGAAACCAATCTTCAAAGAAACAGATTCTAAGGAATCTTTGTTCACTGGATCCCAAACAGCGCAATTAATGAAGTTTAATGCGGCTGTTAGAATTACTTCAATACCCAATGCTTGGGGTACAGTGAGCTGTACATGAGGTTGAGTTGTACAAATTCCGTCTGTGGTCAAATCAACTGGAGATACTGCTACTAATATTCCATATCCAGCTATAGAACCCGCAAACTGAGCTAAGATATATGCAATTCCAGCGGCGATTGACATTTTTCCCCATAACACAGAGGCTAATGTTACGACAGGGTTCATATGTGCTCCAGATATATGTCCAAATGCCTGAATATTAAAGAGAACAACCAAGCCGAAACCTAATGGCCCATATAACAGTGGCAGATGCGCCAAGCTGGATATTGGCACACAACACATGCATCCTAGCAGGACTAAAAGTAACGTTGAAATAAATTCTGCCAATTGTGCCTTACACAGTATAGAATAAATGAGTTTCTTATGTTCTGAAATTTTCATACCTTCCTTTACAGAAACACTTTCGAGCACATTAGCTATGTGATTTCCGGGAATAATAGTCATTATGAACACTCAATTAGAACATTGGTTCATAATATTTACAAAAAATGTAAATTCACTTTCACTGTTCACTGTTCATTCACTAATTACTTTGTCGAAAATTTTTTAGCTTCTTTAAATAGTTTTAGTAAACTATTTCTCACTTTTAGTCCTATAGACAAATTTAACACTGCAGTACTAAAACTTCGATTATAACAAACGTAGGACTGATATCAAACAATAAAAGTTATTTTATCATTGAAAATACGGTGTTGCCGATATAATGTTTGCCACAATTGCGAAACTGAATATCGCAGACATCAATCAATTTTTACATTTAGTTGCGGGTAGCCGTGACACATATTCTTACTTTCAATCGACTAAGACGAGGTAGTTTGAGTTCTATTGTTGAACAACATATAGGTATTTGATAATATGTTACTAGATGACATTAGAAATATATGGATTGCTTTGGTTACTTAAATTCAAATTAAAAATATTTATTGCATATTAAGAGTTACATTTCGACGTTAATTTAAAATATGGTGAATCTTACAACTTAACCAGCCTTTTCGGGTATTACAATAATATTTCTGTGATTTACATAATTATACTAAGTTTTATTTACACATAAACAAACATACAAGATTATAAAAAATAATGACAAAAGTAAAGTAAAGAATACATTATATGTAATTAGATTTATTGAAGAGTAATTTAATTTTGTAGATATTCGTACAAATTGTAAAAACAGCTTTGTATTAAATATTGTTTTTATTTTTTAGTAAATTGAAGTTGGCTTTACTTTCTTACCCTATTGAATAGACTATGGAATTTCAAGGTCAAGTTAACAACTGGAAAGGGGGTAAGTAATATACTATAGAAAATAGGGTGTACGAAATAGAAGCTTATGGACTGATATTTTACAATTTTTTGCGTTTACATTAACATATTATGAAATTGATTTATCAATAAATACCATTAATTTGAAATAAACTTTCGGTAGTAAAAAAGTAAAAGCAAAAATTTATAACTAAATAAATAAGATTTATAAAAAAAAACTTAATTGAATCAATACACCTAAAGTGTCACTTTCGTACATGTCGCATGTTGTAGATGTCGCATAAATACAACTTTTAACGTAACATTGTGCTCCTGCTTTATCTTCTGATCGAGTGAAACTATTGCATACAAAATGTCACAAAATGTCACTAGATAAGTTAAAAATAACAACGATCTGTTTTTAAATAGGTACTATCTTTCTTTTCACAATTCACACTTTACACAGTTTTATATTACACTAAGCACTGTAAATTAAGTCAGATAATTAATATAATATATATAATTATATACATATGTATATATCATAAGATAGATATTAAATAATAATTATTAAATTTTATTAAATGATAACTAAATTAAATAAATGTTCTTTTTTATATGAAATAATATTTTTGTTCTTGAGTCACAATCACATAATACTTATTTAAGATAACATGGGAGCTGATGTAAATATTGTAAAGCGCACTCTTTATTATCTCTTTCTTTGTTGTTTTATATTAACGATACCTCCACACTAGGAATTTTTCCTAAGTATATCGTGGGGGCAGTTTACATAAGTACATAAATTTCACAAGGACGAACATTCACACCCGAAACAAATATTTGTAGGATATCCAAATTTTAGTTTCGTGCGGGATTCAAACCCGCGGACCTTAGCGCTACAACTCCATTGCTAAGCAACTCCGCCTCGGAGCCGTCGAATATGTCGAAATACCGTTACGGATAACATTTCTGAAAAGTCTCATTTTCTTTTTTGTGGAAACGGGCAAAAGAACCACCTGGTTGACCCGATGAAAAGTGACTACCGCGGCCCATGGACATCCACGAGAGAATTTCAGATGCGTGGTTTCCTTTAAGATATGAGTAGACTCTCTTAGTGAAGGTTCTTAAGTCAAATCCGTCAGAAAAAACCCGCTGACGACAGTGAATTTTTCAATGTAAAAAAATTCCTGGATTACGCACAAAATTGCCAACAATCGTTGTTGCAGTGTGCGATGGTGGAACTTATCGGCTAAGATTTATCCAAATCACGTATTGTGGTAAATTAGTACATTTGATAAATTACGATAACTCATAAACAAATGCAATGTCTCTTCGTGATGTTGGTGAATTTTTTTTAACGTGGTAGAGCCATGCTGCAATTATATTAGTAGTATAGTTGTAGCACGAATGGGTCGGCTCGACCGGGGAAGGACCACGCTCTCACAGAATACCAGCGTGAAATAGTAGCTTAATGCTGCTGTATTTCGTATGGTGAGTGTAGAGAACCGGAGACCCTTTTTACTGGAAATGAGGCATTCCATCTCAGTCCTCACGGGTGACAACGCATCTGCATTTTGATTTGTAATGGAAGATAGATGTGGATGTCTATGGGCCGCAGCAACCACTTACCATCAGGTGGACTGTGTGCTCGTTTGTCACCCTATCCTATAAAAAAAAAAAAAAAAAAAAAAAAAAAAAAAGAATTGATTTACGCAGTAATATTACGTCAGACAATGGTCGTCGAATAGTTTAGCCACTCGTATAAATGTGAAACAGTATTCCATGTGAGACCGAAAAACAAACAATTTTATTTTAAAATTTTATTTAAACTGTTAAAACTCACTGTGCACTCGTAAACATGGGTTACGTCCAAAGATTTTCAAGAGGGTCCTGAGTTACTTGCATCAACTACCTGCGTGTCTTATCGGTTTATCAACCTATCAACGATAAATACGAAACACCTTCGATTCAGCGACGATGTACTCAATATGGTTAAATCGTCCTTAGCACTATACTCCAAAATAAATATGTATGAACACTGACAACACGATAGTCAATTTTAACGTCCATTTCAGGCCTACACCGGAAACATTACGCTTAAAATTGTTAACGAATACATATTATTTCTACGAATATACGTATAAGGTTGAGGACATAAATTTTCTAATCATTAAATAGCGTATTTTTATCACTTACGCTTAAAATTATAAAACACTTTATCAAGGTTTAAGGGATATACAAAATAATTTGGAGAATTTCTTGAGAAAGATATTTGGTCATGTAGAATGAATGAATGAGGAAAGAGTGACAAAGCAAATTTATATGGCAGATGTGAACAGCAGAGTCAAAAAGGGACACCTTAAAAGAAAGTTTAACGACCAAATTGGAGGTATTTTGAAAACGGGTCACATTAGAAGAACCCTTAACCGACGAGCGTGTTAGCGCAGATATATGGATGTAAAGGAGGTGAAAGAGGTATGTCCGGATTGTGCCAAATGGAAGTCCGTAGTCTTTGCCTACCCCTCTGAATAACAGGCGTGAGTGTTGTATATGTATGTATATTTGTGCACTAGTAAAATACTATGTACTTAAGGATAGATAAATATAAGCGCTTTGTAATCAAGTCTTAAAGAATTACACGTTTCATTGGTAAGTCGCATCCTTGCAGACACTTGTGTTAACCCTGATCGTGTCCCTAGTTGTTAATAAAAATAAGGTAATGACCAATAGCTATTTAAGGTTTCAGCGAAAGAAATTCTAAATATAACTCTACTTAGATTACAAAAGTGAGGAGAATTGTGAGAATTTTGATGGCCTACCCGTGTCCACACGCATGCTCCATATATGTATATGCTAATAAAAACTCCTACGACACCAACACGTGAAAATATGCTGAAAATTAGATTTCCAAACAGGACATACTACAACAACTAGTTATACCAAATGAGAAGACAACTTCAAATTTAATATTTCTACTATAGTTACAAAAGATCAAGTACAATGATTTATAACAAATTAATATACTTGTAATTCACTCCAAGCCGTATTCATAAAAGTACCGATATATCATATAATTTTACTCACACATATCTTGTGTCTAATTTGCGCTAGAACACTTAATAATTCTCGCTTTTATGAATTTTTAATTATCTTTCACTGCCAGTATTTCAATATTTGTTCGAAGTTTATATGCAATCAGTTTCGCTCATTCGAAAGTAATTAATTTTCCGTGTTAAATAATTTACTAGATGAATTTGTAATTGATTTGTGTATTATATTTTAAATTATATAATATAATTATAGTAATTATATAATATAATTTAAAATATAATAAATAAATAAAACGCTTATACTGAGCAATATGAAAAAAACTTATTTTTAGGCATGTCGATCTAAAATCGATTAATCGAAAAATCGATTCTTTGGAGTAAAAAAATTTAGATCGATGCGGAGCACCGCATCGATTCACTGAATCGATCCAAAAACCTCTCGAATCGGTCTGATTCATCCGATTCAAGAACTAGCGATAAAATTCCCAAACTGGCTGGGGTATGACACCGCAGTTTTTTAATTTTTTGCTGTTGGGAGACGCAAAAACAACCGGTCGTACTTAGTTGATAGTTTGAACGCAATATTTATTTAAATAAAATAAATATTTATGAATGCATCCAACAATATCGAAAAGTTGTAATTTCATTTTCATTTCTTGAATTTTAATTCTAATCTTGCCTGTGGGATGTTGGTCTAACTTAATCTGTGCTATGAACAAAGGCTACATATACATACTACAGTGTAAAATTATAGCTGTGAACTTGTTTGAACTGTGAACTTGTGAATTTACTTTATTTATTATCAAAAACATACGTACTGTGAGCTGTAAGTACAGACAGTAAGGAAATAACCAGTATTGTGATTGTGTA